ACCGCTATTTCTTACAAACGGCATCCCAAAGAATGCGCTTGGAAACGGCAGCTGATTGGCTAATAATTCACTGTTTTGATGTATTTAATGCCACATGTTACGCCAGGTAACTTCGTTTTTAAATCCCGTCAAGAAACCAATATCGTCATATAAGAAGTATAGCCTCTGACAACAATATTCGTGGGATAACAACAGACAAGAATATAAGTGCACTTTAGGCACAAGTTTCTCCAGACAGAAAGTTTCATTTTTTCAATTAGAAATTCAGAAAAATGGACGCCACCTCGCGTAATAAATTCACAAAAAATGGAAATAATGGTATCATACCACGCTGAGTGTGAAGTTATTGTTCTAAAACCGACTTTAATCTGCATATATCAAAATTATCAGTTTTGTCTGGGTCACTTAGATTCTACTGAACAAAAGTTAGCGTCACCTTAGGAGCGAAGTTGTACTGCAACGTTGAAGAAAAAATCGAGGGGAGAAAGCTTAATGATATGGATTGTATTTTAAAATATGTTTCACCTGTTTATCCTCCGCATCACTATCTGGAAGAGGACCTGCAGCCAAATATAAACATGACACTTAATATGCGCATTCCCAAACTACTAATCACAGCCATTATTGGAACAGAAAGAAATCACTCGGAAAACATTAAGCATCTTTAAGGAATGAATTATCATTAAAAAAAATTCTTCTCTGAAAAGCTAAAAACGGGGTTTCTATTGCCCTCAAAACACATTCAGAAAAGAAACTAAGAGCTCAGTATTTTCTATAGAAATTTAGTAACGTTCTGTGGCTGATTTATCCTAAACAGTCAAAGGAAAAGGTGTCACTTACCCAAAGAAAACCGTCTTGAATATTCACCTTCTCTTTCAGCTGAATTTAAATCAAGGTCCTCCACATCTTCCGAGCTGTTTCCTTCTCTGAAAAAGGAATTAAGAAAAAAAAAAACTAAATAAATGAAATATAGAACATAACTGACAATGGAGCATGAACTCAAAACGTTAACAAGAAAACGTAGAATTAGCGTTTCCTTTTTCTCGAACAACCAAAACACAACTCCAATGTTTCCAAACATCATCACATTGGAAATACACCATGCACTAACTGATTTATTTTACCGAAGTCCAGGTTCTGTTCAAGTAACCTGTAATTACACTTGAATTAAATTTCATCTTTTGGCACTTTATTTTCGCATTCACAAGGCAAGCAACACGCTGTAACGCTATATTTCATCACTTAAGTCAGGTTTGTCTAACGTAGACAGTTGTTAGAAAAGCCATATGGAAATGCTGTAACGATAAGCTATTAAAAGGATCAATTTTTCAAAGCATACACTAGATGGAAAGGCGTGCAACATGAAACCCCCCTGAGTACATGTAATTCTTAGTCCTTTGATGAACTCTATGGGAGGTCTTTAGGCTTTTTACTAATGCACAAAAACCATACATACAGCCGACAGGTTTTCAGCTCGATGAAAGGTTTTCAGTAATAGCTAACAAAACTTTTACATTGATTTACATGCCATTTAAGACCTAACTAAACTCTTACAGTGATCCGAACCTCTAATAATCGTAGAATAACTCAAATCGATTAAAAATCAAAATATTGTTTTATAACAAGGATCAATAAATTGCGACATGCATAAGAGTGGATAATCTCTACCGCTCGCAGACCACAAACGAGACACGCAATAGCTAAGTTTCACAGTACGAAGTTACCCTGGCTTATGCCATAAACAACCCTAACAGGCTTCGTTTTGATACTTTGAATGATAAGATTACAAACAACACAATGATACAGTCAAACGCCGTCTCGGAGAAAACGCCACACGAAAATGATGAAACAAAACATTACAGGTGATAAAATTCGACTCTTTGACTCTTCTAAAACATTCTTCTTAAATGCTGCAAATCGCTACAGCCATTCTTTAGAGAAGTAACCAGAAGCAGAATACTCGTAACTGTCCTGAACGATAAAATTAATTCCTAAAATGTAAATCACTTTAAAGCAAAAAAAATATCCAAGAAGCAAATTACATTAAGGCGGCCCAGCGTAGGATTTTCACAATTTCTTCGTCTTCGGTTCCCTCGCCGTCACTTTCCAAAGGGGATGTCGACGCCATACTCAATTTTCTGATCGTTTTCAGAGATCTCTTCCAAACACCTTCCTTACACCAACATAGATTTAAACACCGTTCCGAAAAATTACCATATGTTATATTGACTTATCTACCTGCCCGTTGGATATCTCTAGGATACACCTGCCCGGGCAACCAATGTGGCTGTTTGTCCATTCTAACATTGTTTTGCTGTGTTTACGGGCAACAACGGCTTATGCGATTATTTTCGTTCATTAGTTTTGTGCTTGAAACTGGAGTTTGTGGCTTATGGATTATGGAGAGCTTGAAACAAATTTATTTTCCTGGGCAACAGCAAAGATATTTCGATATACACTAAATAGAAACACTGCATAAAGTTTACATATTGACTATTTCAGACAACAATAACATGTTTAATTAAATCGTATATTTATATTGTTTGCATTTATTCACAAAATCCACAAATGGCTCTACAAGGAATCACACTGGTAAGCATTAAGGATGGAACAAACTAAACGTTTCCCACGAACAAATGCTTTCCTCGTGTTCAAAAAGGCTAATAGAGCTTTAAAACTTTGAAAGAACTTTCTACAATACTAAATGGTACATAACTACAAATAAAATTATATCAGTTAAGAAAGCACGCCACAATTCAGTAAACTTATTAACAAACGATTATAAAAAGAGACAATTGTAAAAATGGATTAAGGTACAAGCGAGCTATACCATATTTATTGTATTCTGTATTTAGAAGCAATTTAATACCCTAATGTCATCACTTTACCACATTCATCAAGTTTTCATGCAGATTTAAATCAACAAAACGTGGCTTGTGTTGGCAATACAAAAATCAAGTAATCGCAAGTTAGTATGTTATAGTCTCGATGGAGATTTCGCAGAATGGCCATCAACATTTTCTCTTGTGGTTTTCAATATTCTTGGCTGTGTTTTTCTATGTTGTATGGTGGCTTAAAACCTACGTATATCCACCGCTGAATATCACCTAAAGTAGCATAAGGTAGCCCTTTTAATAATATGTTTTACGACATACAAATATTCTCCTGTGAAGCTTCATTAAGGCCCAGTCTTATAATTTAAACCCTTTTAGTTTTAGTGGTAAACCCACCTTCTTAGCATGTAATGCATAATTTACCTCCCAGAATGCGCAAATTAACAAATCATGTTAACCAATTTATCCTCTCAAGTAATCACCATGTATCACTGGCACAATACAAAATCAAATAACATTGTCATCGAGGGGGTCAATAGTCTGGATATATTACAAAATTCTCAGCACTGACATAACAGACATGTATGGAGATCTATAGCGAGAATTTCGGTTTTCATATTGGACTACAATTACCTCACTAAATCATTCTTGCTAGCTTCTTTGATATTTCTTAGTCTCTAAAAACAAAAAACATACATGTAAACAACTTTATTAATAAGTGAGAACTAAAAAACACCTACTGTAGGTTAAAAACAATAAACTCATTCAGTAGGGAAGCATAAGGTAAGTAATTTCCATAATGAACCACAGGTACAATGCTTAAATTGTAAATTAAAGAAAGCCACAAACTGGAGTGGGTTTTCCTCTGTTGCATTGTAAGTTGATGGTTCCCTAAAATTCAGGTATGTGTTAAAGGCTACGTTTGCACGTGCACGTAAATGAACCTCGGAAATCATTTCGATTTTGTTTGACACCAAATGAAAAGAGGAGAGCATTGGAACAGAATAGTCTTACCTACCCACTGATTTCAGCATATTTAACCACAGTGTTTCCCATTGAGTAAAATTATGTACATGCATCTCACAAAAATCATCTTCAATCTCATAAAAATAAGAATTTCAGATTGGCAAGATTGAAGTTGTTACAAATGGCTTGTCATGAGATTATTATCAAAAGCACTTGCTCAGTTCTCCGAAATTCAGGAAAGCAATGGAGTATATTTATGCAAAAGAGCACCTTTTCTGTGTTTACATAGCCTCATCTAAACACAAGGAGGGTTGGAGAGTTTGAGACAACTATGCAAACCCGAGACGTATGCGTAACTTTTGAGAATCCTCCCAGCTCCCCAGAGTGTTTAGATGAGGCTATGTAAACATGGAAAAAAGTGCTCTATTGCTTTTACAAAATAATTCTCAAAAATACGGGGGAATCTAAAATGTCACAACCATGTTTACATACTCTCATGTAAACACACCTATTAGCATGAGAGCGCACTTAGTACTGTAGGTCATTTATTTTATAAACATTTATTATATGGCCTGTGTTTGTAGCCGATATAACGTGCGCTCTGATTGGCTCGCACATTCTGATTGCAGGGCATTATTCTCCTGTGATGCCCATGGGCCGATTACAGGCCTGCAAAAACCAAAGCAAAAAGCCATATAATAAACAACTTATTAACCTCAAACGTTTGGTCTTTACGGGAAAATCTCAAACCTTGGCCTTCCCGTATTGACCTCGCTATCGCTCAGTCAATACAGCAAGGTTTCAGTTTGAGATTTTCCCATAAAGACCTCACTCTTGGTTAATAAGCAGTTAGTATATTGTAACATCATTTTGGGTTTTTTTTTTTTAAAAACTCCTCGCACGGAAATGCTGGTACATGTAGAGTGCAGTCTCATTCAAAGATAAAGTTAAATTTATGGATGAATCAGAAAATTTATACTACTTTGTCCCCTCTCTACCCCC